AAGGACAGAGAATGGAAGTAGTGATCTTCCTCCCATATTTGGGCATACTGGGGGTTGTAAATATCTAATAGATATGTAGATTTGTGTATAAAGGTGTGTAAATAAAGAAGCAAAATATTATATACATGTACAGGTATGATGACATAACAGTGTTGATATAATGACTGTAAGGTGTTGTAGAAGGGAGAAAATAATAAAAAAATCTGCTAATTAAAAATCTTTTTTATAGTGTGGTGACCAAAACTGGATGTAGTACTCTAAGTGTGGTCTTAAAAGTAAAGGCTTTATGGAATGGTATTAGGATCTCCCTTGATCTTGATTGTATCTCTCTGTTAATGCAACTTACGATTGTATTGGCTTTTTTGGCTGCCAACGTATACTGCCAGCTCTTGTTTAACTAGTTGTCCATTGATTAATTATTCCCACGGTCAAGAATTCTAATTCTTATTTCCAGGTTGGATCTCTTTCTAATGACCTTCCACCCATTGTTTCTTGCTCTGCCCTTGATGTTCTTTGGAGGGCACTAGATCTTCCTCTTGCTTTGGTATGTGATGGCTGATGTAATATTTCCCCTCCCCATGTGCCTACTCTCAGGTGGATGGAATCCTTGGTCAATGTGGGGCGAGTGTACCAAGGACTGTGGAGGTGGCCTTCAGACTCGGACCCGAACGTGTCAACCTCTTCCCGATGAAGGTCTCGTCTGTGAAGGAGTCTTGGAAGAAGGGAGATTATGCAACAGGAAAGCTTGCAACCGTAAGTAAGCTTTGGCTTCTGAAGGAACCTCATAGCAGGTTCTCCTGACTCTGTCCAACAGGCCGTGTCCATCTTTCAAGAGGCAACTGGAGTATCTGGTTTTTTTCTTTGAAGATGTTTCCCTTCCCATTGAAGAAACTTCTTCAGCTCTGACTGGATGGTGAAGAATGGAAGGATTTACACTCCTTGCAGAAAGCTGGTTGTTTGTATTCTTTTTAGAGAGTCCTTGAGGCCACTTAGAGGTTTATCTGTAGTAGTAGTGCAAATGGGTTTATCCCAGTGGTGAAATTCAATTTTTGTTCACTACTGGTTCTGTGAGGGTGGCTTGGTGGGCATGATAGGGGAAGGATTCTGCAAAATCTCCATTCCCTCCCCACTCCAGGGGAAGGATTCTGCAAAATCTCCGTTCCCTCCCCACTCCAGGGGGAAGGATTCTGCAAAATCTCCGTTCCCTCCCCACTCCAGGGGGAAGGATTCTGCAAAATCTCCGTTCCCTCCCCACTCCAGGGGAAGGATTCTGCAAAATCTCCGTTCCCTCCCCACTCCAGGGGAAGGATTCTGCAAAATCTCC